ACGCCCTCCGGCCGCAATGCGGCCCTGTGCGGTGCGATCAAAATAGTGCTTGTAGCATTTTGATCGCACAGCACAGGTTCGGACCGCAGGCACAATGTGCCTTGCGATCCCGTGCGGCGGATCGCATTGCGGCCGGAGGGCGTGGCGCCCGGGCCATTCACTTGAATGGCCCGCCACGCCCCCTCCTACCTCACTAAAAAGTGAGCCGGCCACAATGCGAGGCAATGCGCTCCGGCCAAAATCGGGCCGGAACGCACTGCATCTAGTGTGACTGAGCCCTTACTGCTAACCTAGAAATCCACAACATGGCTTTGCTGCTTGATAGGGGTGCCTGAATCATATGACTGTCTGAACAGAATTACACTTTTATTGTAAAACAACTCGCATGTTAGATGCCTGTCTGCAGCACAACTTCACAGATATAAAGAAACAAATACAGTGGCTTGACACACCAATGTTCAAATTACAATTTGACAACGCAACTCAATAAATGGAATTCCAGCTCTTTCTATCTTAGTTTCACAGTGATATGTATGCATTGTAATATGTATATGTTAATAATGAAATCAAGCTTTAATAAGTTTCACAATTAATTCCATACAAGGGGTTTTTCAAATGTAACTGTACATCCAAGGGTGTAGTTGCAAACCGGGACAGATGATGCAGACTGTTTGCACCCAAGGCCGCTTATCTGTCTCCAATCACATGTAACTGCTTGGATGTGCAGATGATCGTACATACCTGTGCCTTCCAGCCCGAGAAAAACGCTGATTCTTGGCCAATTTGACTTTGTGAATAATCCCTTAAACTGACTTGGTTAAGTGTGTCCCGTTTACCCACCTGTATATGTTTTTAACCTATAAAAGATATTCTTAGCCTAGCTAGTGAGTAAAGTAATATTAAACTCAATCTTTTTTTTCAATAATGAATCCAGATCAAACAAGTTCCCTGAACTTCTTGTCTAGTACAAGATCACAAGAGACAGAGCAGTCCCGCGCAGCCGACCATCTACTAGCTTGAAGAAGGGAAGAGGGAGGAAGGAAGAGCGGGGAGAAGGGGAGTGACTTGCCTTGCTATGCCTGTATGTTTGTAGAGACAAACACAGCTTATTAGCACGCACAAGGGTGGCTCCATGGGACACTGCAAGGAAAAGGTGCTGACCTAAAACAGAATATCAAGGCCAGTGCTCAGGGGACCAGCTGATTCTGCAGGAAGCTGAAACTTTTAAACATCAAGAAGCAGCATCCATTGTAAGTGATTTAATCAACATTTGAAATCTTTTCACTTTAATATCACTTTAAATATTGTTCTGTAAGGCATGATATGGCTGCAGTAAAAGCTGGTTCTCCTTTCAAGCAGCTGTCCACTTTTTTGTGAAGCAGGTTACTGAATAGCTTTTATACACCAGCAAGATTAACATATCTAAAAAGTTAGTGATATAGATGAAATAGAATTGGAATTGTCATTTTTATCTTTTAACCATCAAGCAGTTCCTGATGAGTTTTGTAGGCCCACAGGCAAAGTGAAAATAGTTTTTAAGCCCAATAAAATCTGAATTTAACGTTTATATTATTGATATTGCGGCAGTCACCTGAAAATATTTGATTTAATGCTACTGCCATCAATACTCAAGCAAACAAATGTGCAAATGTGTTTCTTTTCCATAAGAAATGAGGACAAGACTGAGCAGTTCTAAAGTGCAGCTTGATCTGATAGCATGACTTACCGTATCTCCAGCCGAGGAAAGATCAGATTCATAAGTGTTCTTGCCAGCAGCAACTTAAACTGATGACATACTAGGTTTGCAGATTACAACCACAAAACAGTTGGCAGTAAGATGAGACTCCCTGCAGATATTAAGATAGCTTGGCAATGATCGTAATGCTAGACAACACTGAACATTTACAATATATGGTAAATTACATTTTTGATGCATATAGTAGTTTAATTGCTAAAAATTAAAAGCTTTGATCTACATTGTGTATATGTACTTTTCGAAAAGGTGGAGGATATCTAGTATGAAAGTAGGTGCTAAAGCTGAAATCAGTTAGAGCTCATTGAGTAATTAAAATATTATATACAGACTGCAATTTTGGCATGAATGATGGATTGTAATAAATCTTACAGTGATTAAGAATATACTTATAACATGGTGGAAAAAGGCCCCAAGAGTACAAGAAGTAAGAACCCAAAAGGCAAGATATATCATTCTAGAGTGCTACCGAAATTTGGGTTAGAAAAATGTATGCCAGTGGTAGGGTAATGAACCTTAATGGTGGCAGAATGAACCCCATAAAAATTCTCCATCTTAAACCTAGAGTTTTTGTATTTGTGCAACAAAAAATAAGCACTGGTTTGTCATTTAGGAGGTACTTTTAATTCTTTATTCATTTATGTATTATCTTATCTACTTTGATAAACATTTAAGACAAACTGACTTGACAAGAAAGAGGTACTTTTGCACTCAAAAATATAATATGATTTAATAGTCATGGTGTGTGCCTTATTGTTTTACTTAAGGTGGGCATTTTAATTATAGCTCAACATTGAAGGTGCACTCTTCATGCAGTGGAGCCATATACTTAAAGGAGAACTTAACGCACTTACTCTCCTTCTCCCACCAACGCTGACATCTCCCCCGGGATGATGTAACTCCCATGCATGGCCACATGCAGGGCTCAAAATTTCAAGTCCTGAGCTACTAGCCAGGCCTTAAAAGTTACTAGCCACCAGTTGCCCCACCTAACCCTTACCCTGCCCCGGCCTTAACTCCGCCCCTAAACACACCCTCTTAAATAATCATATGATCATTATTATCTTATGATAGTTGCCGCTTGTAAACGGCAGATTAGGGATTCCTGCTGCAGGAAAACGCAAGTTCCTGACACAGGAATCTCTAATCACACCTGAAATATACTGTAGGTGTGATTGGAGCCTAATATACACATACACTAAAAGTGTCCATACACCTGCCAATTATCGTACGATAATCGCGGGTGATCCTGTGATCGTACGATAATTGGCAGGTGTATGGGCAGCGTGGGACCACTTCTACTGTAAGGTCGCACGACTTTCGTCTTCCAAGCACGCTGGAAAACCTGCCGAAAATCGTACGATTTTTGGCGGGTTTGTGGTGTGGTCGTAAGACGAATGCCGCAAGCGCACATTGCAATCATCGGAAGCCCTCCCCTCAGCGGGGAGGGCTTGCGATGATCGCAAGTACGATATACCCAAATTTCCCTGGGCACAGGTATTCATTTATCCCAGGACAGATGTGCGCCGAGAATGTTACACTGCGCTGCTCATGCACAACTCATGCACAGCTCAGTGTACAGTCTATAGAAGTTTGCAAATAGGCAAGTAAGACTTTATTATTACAGAAAAAACAAATAGGACTAACATAATATTTACAAACTATAATATGTTTATCAATATGCCCAGCGCTTATTTTACCTGAAAAAATAAATATGGTCTGTTAATACCTGATAATATTGTGTCCTTTTACCTGCTCTTGAAGAACTAAAGTTTGACAAATTGTATAGAGGTGGTGTCATCAAGCTATTTGGAATCCAGCATGCTGCTCCCGGCGGAGGGGAACTTTGCTGAGTACAGACAATTAAACTAGTGCTGGGTATGGCACTGGGATATGTGGGTGATTAGAATGTTTGTAACGAATAAAAGAAGTAAAAAGATGTTATACTATGTGAGTTTTTCCTTCTTTTATATTCAACTAAGAGTAAATCTGAGAATGACCAATTGGATGTGGAGTAAACAGAAAGTGATTTTGGTTCCATAAGAGGTGTACAACAATTGACTGGAGGTAGAATAAGCAAATGGAGGTGGTGGATGAGAGATATACCTGGCAGAGATTTAAAAAGCAGAGTCTGACCTTAATAAATAAGGGGTCAAACAAGGTCTGGTGAGTGAGCCTTTTTATAGATGTGGCACAGAGGTGTTTTTATCCCTGAAAAGGTTTTACATCACATGAGAATTATAACAAGAAGCCCTATGAGACTGGACTTATGTATATTGTCACTGTTTATATTCTGTATTGTTTAAAGGGCACAAATGAATGTTCAAAATATGAATGTGTATTAGACCCCGTTCACATTGAGCGATTTATCGCGCGGTAATTCCCGCGATATCGCGGCAAATTACAGCGCGATATCGCGCTCCAATGCAATCCAATGGGGCAAAGGGTCCTGCTGTCGCTGGTCGTGTGTCGCTACAGCAGGACCCTTTTTGGAGCGGATTTAGCCGCGATTCAAGCTTGCTCAATGCAAGCTTGAACGCGACATCGCGCGGCAAATCTCGCGATGTCGCGCAATATGCAAATCGCGCGACAATGCGCGATTTGCATATCGCGCAGTGGGAACGGGGCCTTAGGGTGCATACTGTAAAAAAAATGAGGGCATATAATAGTTTTATTCAGGTATTCGGGGCATATTGAAAACACTATTTATTATCTGCACAGATAAGAGCACAGCCGCTAGGTGGAGGCCTAATTAGGGAGTTTAATTAAGCAGTATAGTGCAGAGTCACATCTAACATTATAGACAACCTTTGTTTTATGAATAAACATTTAATACAGGGTGAACACATGACTCGTGGGGGGACATGTCATTTCTTGGATTCATTCAGTTGTAAATTTGAGCTTGAGCTATTGATCTCTGTACATAATAGGCTTTTTATTAAAAAAGCAACCAAGAATAGACATGTCAATATGTATGTAACAAATAGCCTAGAGAGCATAGCCGCTGGCTGGAAAAGAACATACAAATCACTCCTGTGCAATATTTCATTTTTTATTGGCCTAAACAAATATTGTTTAAAATTGTATTTTTCAGTCCCCACCACAATGCATTTGCTTTTATGTCAGTGGCTCTGAGCCGCTACAGGATAATGATTCTCTAGAATAAATGATGTGGTACAGTATTTATTCTAAGAGCATGATTGGTTCATATCACTATGATTGAGTTGGTTACCGCATAACTGAGTACCTGTGCAGTAGCAGCCCTCCCAAGGTCACAGGATTCATGTGTAAACAGTGTGGTAACAATGCTGACCAATCCCATCCCTCTTTCATTGTGGTAGACTGTAGACAGAAATAAAGAAGTTTTTGTTAGTTATTAATCACATGTATTAATTTATCTGTGATAGACAAACAAAAATGGTAAGACAGACTTAGCCTGTTAGTATAAATCAAATGTGGACAGGCAGGTTTTTACCCCAATAAGACAACAATTAATTTACAAATCCGCTAAGTGATGTAGTCATTATTTATTAAAATATAAATCAATTTTTCTACCACATTCCAACTGTTAGTGGCAATTTGCCCAAGCACTTTGTCTAAGAGCTTCAGCCTTTGTTTGAAAGGAGAAATAAATGGATGCTTTGACTGTGCAGTAACAATTTACAATTTCCTACTGTCAGCAAGAAGTTTACCAGGAAATAAACAGAGGGGGAGCTAGGATTTATATTGCATGATGTATCTTAATTAGAAGCCATTTTATGGTTCTAATCTAAAATTGGTACAGAGAATTTAAATAAACAGATGGCACACATACTGATCTGAGAGCATGAGAATCACAAACTCTTGTTATGTATGACCGATTGCACAATAAATATAGACTCATTTACACAATGGTTATGATTGAAAGTTTTCAGATACAAATATATATATGTATGCACTATATAAACAAGTCTGAGTTAGCATGCATGTGCAATATATACACATACACACATACATTCTGACGGTATTGCGGGAGAGGAGGACCCCACCACTAAAAACCACTATGTAAATTTTATTGAAAACACCAGATTGCACCACCTTTCTGAAAAATGTGTTATGGTCAGACTGTTTTTCTTTTTAAAGCCCCATTAATGCTACATTCAGTGGTCACCTACACCTGGCAAATGCGGGTAGTGCAGAGCAGAGCCAGCACTGCTGGTGCCCATTGTGACCTACACATTTTTCAATGCGTTGGCAAAGTTCAGCAGCCAAATGACAACACATTTCTAAGTACTGACCAGTAGTTTTCAGTGCTGGTGGATTGGCAGTACTACATTTTATTGTTGCACTGCCTTTTGAATGCAGCAACTTTGGGCACTTAGTAAGTTAAGTATGCTCCTGCAGGGATTGGTTTAATATTAGGCAATTGGTTGGGGTTTAGGTTAGTGTTAGGGCCAAAGTTTGCATGGTTAAAGTCTTCTCCACAACATTGGGAGGAGGCGTTCTGGGGTCCACAAAGGTGAACTGAGTATGGCTAATACCTTCGTTGAGTTTTTTGCAGCAGGTCAGAAACTCACTATATTTCTGTCAGAATCAATAAGCTGTTTTTTTTTTCAATTATTAAACAAAATCCTTTCAATGGTATTTTTATCAGACCACAAGGAGAATTCATTGTTAGTGTTTATATACACCTAAAGGAACAGGACCAGGGTTAAGGGTTTAAGGATTAAGTAATCCAGGCTGTGGTTAAAGTATAATTTTAGGGGTTAAGTGTTAGGGTCGACTTTGCAGTCAGTTGGGTCAAAGGTTAAGGACACTTAGGGGTATATTTATAAAGCAGAGAATCTGACCAAATCACCAACATTCACTAGAGGTGAATCTTCCAGCTGCATGCGTTTTAAATGGCCGATTCGAATGATGATCAATTCACCATCAGGGAATGTTTGCTGAAAGTCACATTCGCTGCTTTATAAATATGCCCCTTAGAGAAGATTTTTCTCTTTACTTTATTTTAACATAAAAACAATGGACTGTTCTGCACAGTGACTATCTCAGCTCATATTGGGTATATTTCCTCATTTAAACATATAATGCAGAATTCTAACAACAGTACCAAATTTGCATATGTTCTTGCACCCTACACAGTAAAGTAACTAAATTGTCAGCCACAGCAGAGAGTTATACACTCTTGGCAGTAGAACTCCAAAGTCGGGAAGGGTAATATCTGAATGCAAATACTAATAGGAGGTGAACTTGCTTTTTCTAACTTACCAGTACAGTGAATAGGAATGCTCTTCCCAAGCACACTAAGTCCTTTGCCAGACCACAAAGTCAGCCTAGGCTTTGATCAGGAAGTTTCTTGTACTAGCCTTTACTCCACAGTTACACTCTATGGCTCTCTGTATTTGCTCTGAAAATTCAGTTGATAAGCAATCGTCTGATTGCTCTTGGCCCAAAACATTAGCAGGTTAGACATATGTATCTCATCTAAAAACCCATTAACATTACTCACCTTACCTGCCCATATCCTAGCCCATTCTTGCTGGGTGAGAGTCTCCTTTTTATAACCAGATAATCCAGCACTAAAGTCCTATATATAT